TGGGGTTTCCAGTGTTTGATTTTTCAGAAGTAGACGGGCAGGCTTGTCTTCTTTGGTGACCCCTCTGAGTGGGCTCACACCACCCATCTTGGGGTCGGCAGCCACTTGTTTTAGCCCTCTGCACCACCCAGGGTCTCGGCGGGGCAGATGTGGGAGTGAGGGGCAGAAGCGTTCAGCAGAGAACTTTCCACGGATACAGATGCCTCTTCAGCTTCAGTCCCGGAGAGCCCATCTTCAACCCTGCGGCCACATTCTGAGCACCTACTGTTTGCCCAGCCCCCTGCCGAGCCCCTACTGTGTCTCCATCAGTCACAGGAGTGCTGGTTCGCTCCAGCCCAGACAATCCATAGCAGGATTCCATCAGCTCCTTTGATCTCTCCTTCATGTGGTAACCAATCCCAACCTGGTTTGACAAAGAAAGCCATCTTGGGCAGTGGGCGAGGGGCTCCTCACCAGCGTGGTTTTGCCCTCCCGGGGGAAGCCTGACTGTGATGGAGACCATGGTAGCTGTTTCATGGGAAAGATGCTCCTGACATCTCGCGAGTGGAGGACAGGAGTGCTGCTCCCCCCACCTCCCCACCACCCCCCAACGCAGTGTACAGGGCCGCCTCCACCGCAAAGGCGTGCTCAGCCCCCCACAGCAGTGGCGCTGAAGTTGAAAGCCCTTGGTATAAACAGAGGGCAGGACCTGTGGGGGACCACATCCTGTGTGTTTTCAGCAAGCCCCGGGGGTCTCTGTGTCTCTGGGCAGGTTGGGGGACCGGGTGACGGCAGAATGTATGGCGTGTGGGATGTCAGTGCTGGGAGCCAACTCTCACTGAATGCAGAAGGGGAGCCCCCGGGACCCACTTGTGTTTGTGCTTTGACTTCAGGTTCTGGTTGGCTGTCCAAGATCTCAAGAAACAGCCCCTCCAGGATGTGGCCAAGAGGGTGGAAGAAATCTGGCAGGAATTCCTGGCCCCAGGGGCCCAGAGCGCAATCAACCTGGACTCTCACAGCTACGAGATAACCAGCCAGAACATCAGAGAGGGAGGCAGATACACATTTGAAGATGCACAGGTTTGTGTAGTTCTTCATCCGTCCCCCTCCACCACCTGACCCCTCCAGGCGAGTCTAGGGCATTGTGGGGTGTTAGACCATTGGGGGAAATGTATTCGGGTCTGTGTGCCATGGAATTCTAGCGCTGTCTTCCTGGGTTGGTGCTGTACCAACCCTTCAGACAGAGAGGCATCTGCAGTTATTTGCTTTGTTCTTTCCAGGGAAATCCCAGTGTCTTAGGAAACCCAAAACCTTGTCATAAGTCAGTTGTGGAATCTGAGAATCGGAATCCAGAGCCCAGGAAGGGGGTCTACTGAGCCGGCAGGGCCATGACTCAGGCACACATGGGACTCACTCCCAAGCCTGTACTTCGAGCACCACGCCACCCGGCTCCCAGAGGCACTGGCAGCCACACTGTTCCTATTAGTTGAGCGCCCCTCGAGGCCTGAACTTCGCTATGTTATGAGCTAGCACAACCAACAGACCAAAGTCCCTGCCCTCAAGGGGGTTGGGGCCTACTGGAGGAAACAGACAACCTAATGCCCCAAGGGGGTGAGCGCAGGGGGGGTGGACATCCATAGGGACACTCCTAACTCTGTGAGGGGTGGTTGGGACCCAGTGCTGGAAAGGAGACAGAAGCAGAAAGTCCAGCAGTCACCCTAAAAGATGAGCAGTTTTTAATCTCCTGCTCCCTAATTTTTCATTTCCTCCCACCACCCCACACCCCACAAAAGGGCCTGAGCTTTCTCTGTGGTCTCCCCAACTCTGCTTCTCGCTTCTCCCAGGGGAAGAGCTGAGGAACGGTGCCTCCCCACACCTATTACCATCCGATTTAAGATGCTCCAGGGAGCTGCACTGATGTAAATGATGGCATAGGACACAGCTAGTGGCCCTTGGCCTCTCAGTCTGCCTTGTCATTTGCTCAGAACTGCAGTCTGGAAGGGTCTCCCCACACTGGAACATTCTTCTGTCTTCCCGAACCTCATCTAATGTCTCTGCCAGCATGTTTGGTTTTGTGAAGGTGTGCCCTGGCCCTCTGCCATCTTGAGCCCCTCGCCCATTGTAGCATCCAAACACGAGGTCTCTGTCGTGAGAAAGCACTTCTTTCTCCCCGAGATATCTGTGTATGTATCTTTGCTCCCCAGCGTCATACTGGCCTAGCCCAGTGGGGAGGGCGATCAAGTGTCCCAGGTGGTTCCCTCGATGGATGATGAGAAGCACACAGTCCAAGTCTCATGTTCCCCGAAACAGAAGAACAGGGGTACTTGTGAGAACCAGGATGCAGCCAGGGCAAGGTGACCACTTTGAGAAGGGCATCGGGGTGGATTTATTGTGGTCGTTTATTCTGGAAACGTTTCAGGGTCTGGAGGAGTAGAAAGAACCAAACGGCAAGCGCTTATCTACCCTTATCCAACCTCAACAACCACCAACCCACCACTGGCCTTGTTTTATCTCTGTCTCCACCTACTTTCTACCCCGCCACTAGATCCCTGTTAGGCAAATCCAAAGTACGACACCGCTTCATCTGTGCATCCTTAGGTGTGTATTTCTAAAGTAGAGTGACCCTCTTTTGGTAACCTTGTCACAATATCAGGATCACACCTCAACTAATTAGCAGTCATCTCTCAATATCATTAGATAACAAGGCAAATATTCAAATGTATGACAGTCTTCTAAATGTCTCCCCTGACTCACCCACTTGTTGTCTGTTTGTCTTTAATTAGAGTCCCAAGGAGATCCCTACATGCCGTGGATCAACAGATATTTTCAATGTCCTGTAATTTACAAGTTACCTTTCCATCGCGTCCCCTTCCCCCTTAGAACGTATTGGTGAAGAAATCAGATTCTTTGTTCTTCAGAGGTTCTCATAGCCAGGCATTTTCTGAGTGTAGTCCTGTGGTCCTGTGGAACTTGGCCTTCTGTCATCTCCATCCCCTAGACGCTGGAAGCTTGATCTCGATGTTTAATGAAGTTTAGTTTGATTTGAGTGGGCAAGAGCACTCCCTAGGTGACGTTGTTTGCTCCTGTTAGAAACCACATAATGTGTGTGTGTGTGTGTGTGTGTGACTCTAGTGTGTTTGTTGCCTAGACGCACTGTTCATGACCAAACCAAACCCTGTGCCATTGTGTCGGTTCTGACTCTTCTCGGCCTTATCGGACAGCGTAGAGTGGAGCCCTAACTTCCCCAGGTTCTAAGTGTTATAGCGATAGATATCTTTGTCTTCCTGCAGCTCACCAGGTCTCCTGTCCCTGGGGTTCAATGTGTCAAGCCTGTTCTTGAGAGGGTCTCAGAATCCAGGTGGGATATATGGAAGGCCGTATTTTGGCTCTTGTGGACTGGTTTTAATTTGCTTCAGCTTCAACCTGAACTTACATCTGAGCGATTGATGGTCTGCCTGTTCCACAGTCAGCCCTTGGCCTGGTTGCAGCTGCAGATATGAAACGGCTCCACAATCTCTCCCCACAGATGTAGTCGATTTGATTTCGTGCATTACATCGGGAAAAGTCCACGTGCATAGTCGCCGTTCATGTGGTGGGGAAAAGGTATTTTCCATGACGTCATTTGTCTTGCAAAATCCTATCATCCTATCTCCACCTTCAGTTCCATTACCAAGACCATACTTTCC